CTCCTTCATATCAAGAGTTTTTGAATGACAGATGAAAAGGGAAATTCTGTCATCGTTTACTCATCATTTACTCATCATGTTGTTCCAAACCTGTAGGACTTTGTTTTAAAGTCTGAGGAACAAAGAACAAAAGAGTGTTTCAACTGTTTTTGTCCATGCAGTGAAACAGACTGTCATTGTATGGACAAAAAAAAACGAGACTTTTTTTTGACTCACTGTCCCATTCTCTTCCTCTAGGGTTCTCAGGCTGATCCAGCTCCCAGTTTCCTGAAAACTGAGGTTTTGAACTGTTTGGGCTCTCCAAGCACCCAGTTTCCGAAGGCGAGTGTTGGACCCCCTTCTGTGTGTGGAAACATCAAGTATGTCCAGAAAAGGCAGTCATCAGTAGTAAAAAGGCGGTCAAAATGACTGATTCTGTTGATTTTGCTGGTCTAATTATTCTCCACAGATACGTTTGCACTATTGAAATGAAGTGCTTGGCCCTCAGATATTGTTTTATTGTCACAGGCTACAATAAAATAAACATGAGCAGTCAAGATTTATAACTTTATCAGATAATGGCATTATATGACTACTCAGATTGATTTATACTTTGGTACATATTGTTTTGAGTGTTTGCAGGAACTGATTTCTCCAAAGCAGCTATTAATAAAACGTACTTAGTAATAGGGGTTGAACGACTTCTGATTTTTTGAAGTCGACTTTTATGTGATGAAAGTCGAGTCGAAGTCGACTAGTCGCTGATGACGTCATTAACGAACAAATAAATCTGGAGCTTTGACAAACACCTTGTGCACAGCTATGGCATATGACACAGCACTGCCAACAACAGCTTTTTTATTTTGTCTTTGGGTCGTTATATTTCTCACAGATTTCTGCTCATTCTAAATCAGATACAGATAAAGTAGCACAGTAAAGATTACATTAATAGTAATACTCAGGAAAACATGTTAACCATTGTTCCAACAGAAAACCTTACGAATGTACAAAAATCAATAAAATATACATTCATCTTGAAACGTGTCAAAATTGGTGTTGTGTTTATATTTTTGATAGGAATGTAAAAATTCACAGCTTTTACCTGAGGAAGCTAAAAAGAAAGTTATATTCATTTCTACATGAGCATCTTTAAAAGGAAATTAATCCCTGATAAAAAAAATTTGAGGCATGTTCAAGAAAGGAGGTGTCTGAGACACCTGTTTAAAGGTACAGGTGTTTTCGAGGGCTGCAGGTGCAAGTGACAGGTCTGTTGCTCTCTGTCCTCACTGCATCTGGATGTGACAGTTATTACACAGCTGTCATTTACAGGATTATGACTTTAATACTTACATGTTTTGTTATTGGCCAGCAGAGGAGACAATGAAACACTTTTCTCACATATTGTATTCATGATGATGTTTACCTTGAATAACATACAAGAAAGATGTAAATATGTAAGACGTGTCAAAGTTTGTGAGATCACACCATTCTCTTATTTGGGGGAAGAAATTGTAAGTTAGAAAATCACCAGAAATATCTAATCCAAACATCAATTAAGACATAAATATACTGTTGGACTGGACCGCAATGAAAAATAACTAATTTTCTGTCTTCATCCGTCTGACATTAGGTCAGTTTCTTTTCTTCATTCATTCATTTTCTGATGTAATGTGCAAAATAACAGTTCAGGGATATACAGTAGTAAATATTATATTTGCATTACCCTATTGGTCATATTTGGAGCCATGAAAGTCATGGCTACAAAAATCTATCAAACATTTCGACTGGGAACCTGTTGTTTATGGACACTGATTTGGCAAGAATAAACTTTTTAAAAAATATGAAATACTATAGTAGTAAAAAAAAAAAAAAACTAACACAACCTATATGTGTTTAACGTGATATTTTTCAAACTAAATGGAAAAGGTAGCATACAGACAATTTAGCCATTATTAGCCAACAGAAATTCGAATTAATTGTATAAAATTACAATATATCTTAACAAACATGGCAACATTTGACAAGCTCTATACAATCAGTTTGACAACATTCTCCAATCTATTTATGAAAATCATCCTTACACAATTTAACCTTTAGAGTCAAATATATTACAGTATTTATATTGCATTCCTTTGTTTATACAAGAGCTATTGTGAAAATATAATATTGGAACTTCTGTTTTAAGAATAGACAGCATTTCTAATGGATAACCTTCTAAGAACATTCTTTAGTTAGTGATTCATGCCATTAGTTTCAGACCACTTGTCTGAATCCCCTAGCAGCAGTTAAGGGCTCTGCTCATTTAAAATGACTCCAGAGAGTCTGGTGACAAATAAATTCATGAGGTTGGAGTGAAGGAGGGTAAAGATCTCCATAAACCTTGCAGTCAGTCTGCTGGGGTCGCAGGTCAGAAGTGGCTCAGAGGGAGCACTTTACAAGACAGGCCGTGTTTTTCACAGATTAAACTTTCATGATGTTATGTCATACATTTAGAGAGGTATGCTGGCTTTCTGCAAAACTGCAGAGAAACTTTAGTTACACTTTATTTTAAGGTGTATTGAGTAATGTTAATTAATTACAACTTACTACTGTTTTTATAGGGTTAGTTGGCCGTAATTTACTGTTATTACTATTTTAAATACGGGTAACGTGTAACATTACTGTAAAATAAAGTGTTACCAAAGCTTTAAATATATGGGCATTATTTTGTCTGTGATATGATGACATTATACATTTTTTTTCTCAAGTCTTATTTTAACCTGTTTTGCAACAGATTAATAATAATATGGTGTGCAGCTGTCCTATTACACATTATTCTAGTGAACTGCACTGCATACCAGGAATGTATGTTTAATGTGAGCCTACAAAAGTCTTAAGAAGATCAAAAGGTTAAAGTTCAGAAGGCTAGAAGAGAGGGTCACCTGCCACTGCCCCCCAAATCTGACACGAGGCTCAGGCCTGTTTAATCAGACCGGAATTCTTTTCACTGAACAAAAAAATGTTTTATCCACTTGATATTTGCTCTTCTCCAATATAGAAATAAGTCTAAAAGACAAGATTTGTGCCAACTAATTTTTTTATCAACATCAGAGTAATTACATGGTAAATCCCTAGGAATTGTTTACTTAATATAAAGTGTAACCCTTTCTTTACCAAAGACAAGATTTGTGCCAACTAATTTTTTTATTAGCTTTTGTTTCATGTCCACTCTAATGGACACCAGGACTGAAGAAGAAAAAAATCCCCATATTTTAACCATACATAATAAGTAGAGCTTGTGCACTATAGTTGAACTAGTGTTTAAGATTTTGAAAAGAACACATACTATAAGAATGATGTAGCTCTGTATTTAGCTTTGAAATGCTTCCACAAATTTCTCAACCTGTTATACAACTAATTCATGAGGTGCTGCTGATATCTTTCAAGACCTGATGTCCATTGTGATGGACATAAAAAAAAAATTTAAATCCTGTGATCTGCAACTCTGAAAGATCTTCAAAATAACTTTGAATATTATCATTTGACAGTCTTCATTTTATAATAGGTGCAAGTTAATAAAACTTATCGTTACTCCTTATAAAATATCACTTGCTCCGACACGCAGAAGCGGTGTCTGATTCATGAACCCATTAAATCGGTTCGCAAATCGCACCAAACGATTAATTGACGAATTGGAATGATCCGATTGCAGCTGTTCTCGAGTCGACAACTCACTGATTCAAATGATCCGTTTAGTGCGAGTCTCCAATGAACTGAATTCACAAGTAAGAACCGGGAGATCTTGTGAGCGCGCGCGCGTCTGA